AAATGACTTTTTGTAACATTAACTGAAAGACTGCCAAATTTCGTGAAGATATACCCAATATATTGAGAGTTATAAGTATTAAATTTATATAAACGAGTACAAAAGGTCGTGACTCAGTCAAATTGATCGACCCTGTGTTGGGAGAGTTAAAAATAGGGTTTTGCAGTCACCCATTGCACTTTTTCCAGTAAAAAGACCTTTTCTAACAGAGAGACAAATGAAGATCTAGGCACATTCTTTGGGTCCCTCATGTACAAATTCTCCCTTTTTTTGAGTGGAGCATTGGAGACCCTTGCCACTTACCAGCTCCCAGCTGCTGGGATGGTGGACCATGGAGAATCCTCATAGATTGGAACCTAACCACCGGGGCTAGAGAACAAAGGATCCATTTGCAGTGAGAAGTGAGCTAAGATGTTTCCAGAGTGTAGTACAGTTCACCCAATATAAACTTGATACATCACAATCTTCTAGTGGACTTATGTATATGTATGACTGTATCCTACTCTTGCAGTTACATGAACCCTAGGAATCTGATGGTAGAGTAGATGAAACTAATCCATATGTAACTGTGATATGTCACTCTCACACCCTACTCCCTCAGGAGGCAAAGGTCCCATAGAGTCTGATGGTCAAGTTTTTTATAATTATCCATAATGACATATTCTGATACAATGCCCTTCTCCCTCATCTGGAATGGGGCCCCTAGTGACCAACAGTTGAGGAGATGTGCAGGATACTTATCTTAAGTGCCTTTTTCCCACAACTGGTTTTGACCTGTTGAGTCTGATGGTAGAGAAGGTGAGCACACAAGGTATGGTCTGAACGAGTCACAACCTCACTACACACATCTGATGGGTTGTATATGAGTAGTCAGATGGTTGTGTACCTTTTCTGCCCATTCTTGTGATACATTTGAACTTTTAGCCTCTTTTCTTCCTATACATGGGTAAAGAATATATCTTGGATGAGATGAGATGCTGTCTCCTTTGAGTGTGCCCTTATGGAGCCCGTGCCATCAGATGCTTTCAGAAGGAAACTCATCTAGGTAATCTTTTCACTGGTCTATCCACCATCTCAAAGTGAGATTTTGGCTATCTGTATACAAAGGTGAGTAATCGTTTCAGGAATAAACATTTTTCTTATCTAAAAATGTATTTCTGATAGATACTCATCTCCATACATGATCCCACCCATCCTCCCCACATTCCCAGTACACCTTTACTGCCTTGTCAAAGAATGACAATTTTTGCTCATGAATGTAGAGGGAGGATTTGCACAAGTTGTATTCACGTGGATATACTGATTTTAGGCAGAACTATTTACAAGGCTAGTGGCATACAAGTTTCTCAGGCAGAAATGCATGACTTCAAGAAGTATTAGATGTCTGTGTACGGAGGAGAGTATCTATCAAAAATATTAATTTTCATGTTGGTAAAACAGACCACAGACTGCAGAAATGTTATGTTGGTAAAATAAATTTACCACATACTACATTTCATATCGGTAAAACAGGCCACAGACTCTGCAGAAATGTTATGATCGTGTTTATGTATTAATACTTCATGTTATTTGATAATCATTAGATCAGAGAGGTACATAGTAATATTATAAAAATGATCATGCATCTGTATATTCCATGTTGTGTTTTAACTGTCATATTGTAGAGCTGTTTAGAAATGTTATAAGTATGGTCATATATCTTATAGTTTCAAGTTATGCATCATAAAACTAAAAATTTTGTGTATATGTATTTTTCTATTTTACATCATGTTTTAGTGCTGTGTAGGGATGTTATGAACATATTCGTGTTTCTTTATATTTTATTTTGTGTTTTAATTAGCATGGTTAGAGCTGTTTGGGAATGTTTTGAACATATAAGTGCATCTGTACATTTCATGTTGTGTTATAACTAGCATGTTTAGAGCTGTGAAGGAATGTTTTGAACATATAAATGCATCTTTATATTTCATTTTGTGTTATAACAAGCATGTTTTAGAGGTGTATGAAATGTTTTGAACATATTCTTGTGTATTTTATGTTGTGTTATAACTAGCATGTTTTAGAGCTGTGTAGGACTGATAAAATTGTGTGCATAGTGATCCAAACCTGAGTTGTGTGTGAATTAAAGGTGCTACCTAGTAAGAAGAGACAAGAAAAATGTCAGTAACCCTCTCGATAAAAATTGGTCAAAGTGCACATCATGACTTTTTAGCGAGTTACATTCAAAATTTAATTAAACTACTTTATTATCAAGGTATATATGAATAAACATAAAAATGTAGTTAATAAATTAAATTTTAATATTTTGTAAGTTTTAAGTTCTTGATTTTATAAGGAAATATTTAAAAAAAAACTCAATCTCACTCTAGTATGAGAATTGTGACATTTGCTCTCTAGGTATCCCCTCTTCGCTAATTTATTTACCACCCCTCCAAGAAGTATGGAATTTAACATATATATTACTCATTATAGTATTGTTCTTACAACAATTTTTATAGTCTTCAATCTTATTTGGTTACAGTGCCATAAAATAGAAAATGAGACCCCTCTTGCCATGCCCACCTGTCACATTATCTCTTTCACAAATTGTCAATAGTTTTCTCTGTGTATTATTTATAGCAATAGAAAGCCAAATTTTTAATCTATCAAATGATGTATTATATAACATTGTTTTCTGTACAGAGAATTGTATATTTCTAGACTTGCTAGCCCTTATGATTTAGGTATAATTGTTCAGTTTTTTTTTCTTTTTCATTTTATGCCCATATAAATTGTTGTGTTATTTTATGTGAAATTCGGTAATTTTTTCACTGACCTTTTTTCTACTAATAATGTTCTGTAAATAATTCACCACTCTCTACTTCACATCTCAATCTTATAAATGTTTAAAACAGTCTATTAAAATAGTGTGTAAGTAGTAAGTGTCTAGAGTGCACTAATCATTTTTTAAGAGGAAAATGGTGGAAAAGCGTGGTTCTGCTTTGTCCCCAGTGACTCCAACAAAGAAAAGAAAAGTTTATAGTGAGCAGAAGTTTATGCATAAGTATTCAAAAAAGTTCAGTGATATTGTATCATCCTCAAAGGGTATGAATTATGCAAGATGTACAATTTGTTTTTGGGATTTCTCTGTTGCTAATGAAGATACAAAATGACATCAGAAAACTTCTCAACACTACTAAAGTAGGAAAATTGTGTATCATTAGCTGTTTACAACACAAGTGAAATGATAGAAAAAAAGGAGTTGTAGGTTATCTTTTGAAACTTAACCCTGAAATGTTGATTTGGAGATGCCCATGTCACCTGCTTCATTTGGCAGCAGAAAATTTGAAACTACAGTCCAAAGACCCATTCATCCATTGCTTACAGAGAATCTTGTTTGCTTTATTCAAGGATTTGTTAAGCAGACTTGTGATACAACATGCAATTTTGAATTATTCAAATATTTTGGACTTGAATTTCAAAGACAGAAAACTTCAGTTAAAAAATGAGAACATGGTAATTGGTTATGCAAAGCTTGACAAAGGAAGTCCACTCTCTTTCTGTGAAGATGTAAGAAATTACTATGATACTGCATTAGAATATATGAAGGCCAAGTTCCCTACTTTAGGACACAACTTTGAAACATGTAGAAGTAGCAGACATATCTATCAGAAATAGTTGTTCATTGGAATTAGTTGAGTACTTTGTTGTAAAATTCAAGCCATTCATTGCAAGGTATTTATCATGGGCCAGTACAATGAATTGTCTTCAGCAGCAATTTCTCACATACCAGACTGATCCATCAATTGATGTAGATCTCAGTTAGCCAGCAGATAAGTGTTGGTGTAGTATTGTAAAAATGAAGGATGAATTGGGCAAAAATCTCTGAAGTAATGAAGTTTATACTTGTAATACCAAACAGCAGTGCAGGTTGTGAGAAGGTTTTCTCACAAAAACTGGACAGACTTTTGAGGATCAATGTCAAACTCCATCTTAGAAGTAGTGCTAATAAGGAAGATGTAGATGGCAGAAAGGCCATGTTTCTCCAATAATTTACAGATGATTCCATAAAGAAAGCCAAGAGTGCTAATTATGGGCTCCTAATCAGTAGTATGCTGTAATTAGTAAGTATTGAATTAAACATAATTAGTAGCGACACCATTTCTGTTTGCAGTTTTTGCTATTTTCCCTTGTCCTGATAAAGATTACTATTTTTAAAAATTTAATGTTGGCAGATCTGCATATATTTATGGAGAAATCTTTAGTGAAAATATTTTCTTAAAAATCCTTAATTTTTGTCTATAATAGACATGTAATACTTACTGAAAGCTTGCAAAATTTTGTGAAGATGTACAAAATATATAATTGATACTTGAAACTATTGGTACTTGGTGAAAGTCCATAATTACAAGGTTGAGGAAAAACGAGACAATTGTATGTTTCACAAATACATCATTTATTCACGACCATGGTTTCACCGGTGAAGGCATCATCAGGTACGGATTGAAATGTTTTGTAACAGGTTTATATATGTTTAAACAAAGAACTGGAAGTGACCTTGACATTCACCTAGAGATAAGTTGGGTAAGAAGTGGGAAGGAACTTAAGTTGGTTTGGTCATTTATAACTCTTTTTTTTTTCTGGATTTTTTTTAGACTTCTATTTCTTTCTAAAAGAACTTTCTAGAAGATGGAAATAAAAAAAATGACTCAACCTATGCATCCCACCTTATTGAACTAAACACTAAATTTGATTTTTAAAAAAATGCAAAATTCTACATATTTGTGAAAAAGGTAAAAAACTAGATAGCCTGGAAATTTATAAATAAATAGAAATCTAAAAATAAATCCAGAAAAAGTTCTCAATGACCAAACCAACTTAAGCTCCTCCCCACTTTGGGGTCAAGATTTAGGTTGGATTGATCAAGCCCATAGCGAGAGAGAGTTAACTTACAAGTGTTATTGTTCTGTAACATATTTTCAAACAGTCTGGTTAGATTCTGATCACTCTATGATTGGCAGTTGGTGAATACATCTGTACCCTAAAAGCTGAGCGACAGCAGCAGCAAGAGGAAGTGGAGTTGTTGAAGGAACAAATACAAGAGCTAAATAAAACAATCAGGTCTGTTTAAATATTGTAAGTAGGCTAGAAGAATTAAAATTGAATCTGTCAATATTTAGAGCATATTTTGAAGAAAAGTAATAATTTGATACAACTGTTTTACTAGTCAGAGTTTGGGGATTTTGTTTTTTATTCTTTATGGTGACACATAAAGGGAATGTCATCTGGTAATGTTGGTGTCAGGTTTTTTGTAAGATTACAGTGAAGCTTGTATAGGGTAAATAATGGTACTGTATTGTTGTAAAGTACACAGTTAATTTAAATTTATAATATGCCCAAGTCTAATAATAATTCTTATCATAATAGAAACTTAAACATTTGAGAAGGACAATGCTTTTAAATAATATGTACTATATCTTTCATTGATTGATTTGAGCTGCAGTTCTTACATGTCATTCACATTATTGGGTTCCTTAGTTCAAGTGATACCTCAGGAAGACAATTTTTACTGAATTGTTGATTATGCAGTTTTCTTGTATCTGTATTTTACAAAAAATATAACCACTAACAAGGAGATGTGCTATGTATTATTGTATCTTTGAAATTGGAAGGAATTTACTCAATATTGTGTTTTGTATGTGTAATAGTGTTTCTTATATTAAACATTGGCAAAGGTTGTATTGTTTAGTTATTGAATAATTATTGAGCCAGTCTTTAGCATGTTCAACTATTTCATGGATTGTTGCTGCATTTACAGTCTCTTAGCTTTGATGACTTGCTATCAGTTGTAGTTTATATCAGAATCAGATACCTGAATAACCTCTTACCTTTAATCTCCTACTCTCACTTGTTTGTCTTGCAGTTTATATCAGAATCAGATACCTGAATAACCTCTTACCTTTAATCTCCTACTCTCACTTGTTTGTCTTGCAGTTTATATCAGAATCAGATACCTGAATAACCTCTTACCTTTAATCTCCTACTCTCACTTGTTTGGCTTGCAGTTTATATCAGACTTGGGTATTTGAATAGCCTGTTAACTTCAATCTCCTACTCTCACTTGTTTGTCTTGCTGTTTATATCAGACTTGGGTACTTGAATAGCCTGTTAACTTCAATCTCCTACTCTCACTTATTTGTATTGTATCAGAATTCAATACCTGAATAACCTCTTACCTTTAATCTCCTACTCTCACTTGTTTGTCTTGCAGTTTATATCAGACTTGGGTACTTGAATAGCCTGTTAACTTCAATCTCCTGCTCTCACTTATTTGTATTGTATCAGAATTCAATACCTGAATAACCTTCAATCTCCTATTGTCATTTGTTTCTATTTGATTCTGATATATGGTACAAGATAAACATGTGACAGTAAGTACTTGAATGTAAGAGGTTATTTGCATATCCAGTTATGATATAAGCTACAAGACAAACAGGTGATAGTAGGAGATTGAAGTTAAAAGGTTATTCAAATATCCAGTTTTGATATAAACTGCAAGGCAAACACATGAAGTAAGTGACTGAAGGCAAGATGTTACACATGTATCCAGTTCTGATATAAACTGAGAGAAAAACAAATGACAATAAGTGACTGAACATAAGAGGTTATTCAGGTATCTGATTTTGATATGAACTACAAGACAAACAGGTGATAGTAAGTTATTGAAGGAATGAGGATATTCATATATCTGATTCTGATATAAACTACAAAACAAAGAAGTGACAATAAAAAATTAAAAGGTAAGAGGGCATTCAGGTATAAGATTATGATACAAGCTACAAGACATAGAAGTGATAGTAAGTGGTTAAAGGTGAGAGGTTATTTAGGTACCTGATTTTGATATAAACTGCAATACAAACAGATGACAGTAGGTGAATGAAGATAAGAGGTTATTGAGATATCTGGTTCTGATATATGCTACAAGACAAACAAGTGATAATAAGTAATTGAAAGTAAGGTATATGTATCTTATATAAACTAAGAGACACGCAGGTGACAGTAGATGATTGAAGGTAAGAGGTTATTTAGTTATCCAATTCTTATATAAGCTATAAAACAAGCAAAAAACAGTAAGTGACTAAAGGAAAGAGGTTATTCAGATATCTGATTCTGACATAAATTAGAAAACAAACAAGTGACAGTAGGAAATCAGAAGGTAAGATTGGAATTCAGGTATCAGATTATGATATATATTAAAAGACAAAGAAGTAATATTAGGCGATTGAAGGTAAGAGGTTATTCAGGTATCCAATTCTGATATAAGCTACAAGACAAGTGACTGAAGGTAAGAGGCTATTTGGATATTTGATAGCTTATATAAGAATTAGATACATGAATAACCTCTTACCTTCAATCATCTACTGTCACTTGTTTGTCTTGCAGCTTATATAAAAATCAAATATCTGAATAACCCTTTACCTTCAGTCACTTACTGTAACTTGTTCGTTATGTAGCTTATAGCAAAATAAGATATACGAATAACATCTTACCTTTTAATCTCTAACTGTCACTTTTTGGTGTTGGAGTTTATATCAGAATTGGATACCTTAATAACATCTTACCTTCAATTTCCCATTGATATTTGTTTGTCTCTTGGTTCATATCAGAATCAGATATCTGAATAACCTCTTATCTTCAATCACTTACTGTCACTTCTTTGTCTTGCAGTTTAAATCAGCATTGGATTTGTGCATAACTTCCTACCTTCCATCACTTACTGTCTTTTGTTTCAGGATTGGATGCTTGAATAACTTCTGCACTTCAGTTAATTATTATCACTTGTTGGTCTTGTAGCTTATGCCAGAACCAACTGCCTCCCAGTGGAGCACCAGTGCCTTGTCAGCGAACTAGTAAAATGTCAGAGATGTTTGAAGACTACGTGAGACATCGAACACTCCAGAACTGGAAGTTTTGGATTGTATCTTTTTTTATTATCATTCAACTTTGGGACAGAAATTATCAAGTCTTATTAAGTTCTCTTTGTGTTTAGTTTTTAATAACTAATCTTTTTGTTTTGTTTTTATGTATTTTGGGGAATTTAAATACATGTACCATTTTCTCCTTTCATCTCTATTAAATTTCAAATCATTTTAATGTTGACTGCTCATTTGCTACAAAAATGTGTATTTATTGAGTTGTTTTAACATTTTCTCTTACCTAAAAATTTATTAGGGTATAAAGAACTACATTTTTACAGTATTTAATTCCATCCTAATAAAAATTGAAGAAAAGTAATGTAATATTTCATCCTCTTCCTCACTGCCCCTGATGGTGATTCCTGAACATGGTGAGGAGATCTCTCAGAAGATTCTGTTTATATAGGTTATCGTCTCTGGTTTCAAATATCCACCCTTGTGTTTGCCATGGTTGTTTTTAAACAGATTTGGTAGGAAGAAGCTTTATCATATTTTTGTCAACTAAGACTACTTACATACATTTCTGCTCACAGCAATGATGGTCTATGCTTTTCTTCAGATAAACAGTCTGCTATACCTACTTTTGACCTTCATATCCAGATAACTTGATTATTTCAGCAAGTTGGATATTAGTATATAAGACTGTATATTAAAACTGATGATGTGCACATGTTGATTACATTTTGTTTCTTGGAGGAAATCAAAGGAATCTTTGACAGCAAAGTCAGTCTTTTTAAATGGAAGTAACAACTTACTTAAGAAACTAGCTAATTTATAAATGTATGTTTCTACATTAGATATAATGGACCTGATCAGTACACTTGCTTTATGTATCTATCCAGTTTTGTGGATTCCTAGCTTTGTTGTTATTTGAGGGAAAGTTTTGTTGACACTGCAGCCAAATTGGCCTCCACTTGTGACTGTACAACCTTGCCTATTTCCTACTTAGATTTCAAGCCTGCCATCAAGTCCAGGCTTAATGGTGAAACCAGTTGGCAAGCAGTTTTGGATAAGGAACAACCCAACAAGCTTTTCCTGAATAAAACATACTGTTGCTGATTGGCCATCTATTTTGCACAGGAATTGAAGTAATCCTTGCAGGGCTGTGCTTTGTCCGTAGTTTTAGTATAAGAGAATGACCCACCAATGTGTGAACAGCGTGACACTCGAGTCATAGTTGCTAAGATTTTATTTTCATGCAATCTCTACAATTCTGAGCAGCAACGCTACTTTAGGCATGTATTTATTCATGGTGCCCATTGATATTGAACAGTGTCATTAGGTAGTGATGACACTATCCAGGTCAATTATGTTTTTAAATTTTATTAAAAATAATACTTAATACATACAAATAATACTTTCTTTTTATATTTTATTTCGTACACTTTTAACTAGCTCCACTTAACTCTCTGTTAACTCTCTCTCAGTCAATTTGACTGACCATTTGACCTCTTTGTACTCATTTAAAGCCTTTATAGATTTAACACTTCTAACTTTCAATATAGTGTGTATATCTTCAAGTATTTTAATAAACTAAAATAAAGATTTGTCCATGAATATATTGAGTATTTGTTTTGAATAGTCCGTGGGCAAAGTGATTTTCATGTTAAGATTAGAAATACTTCATCTCACAAATCTCAAATTTCATTTGTGTAATCTCAAAATCCCCCTAAATACATTTCAAATGTTTGTTTTCAGTTAGATTTTTTATTTTATATGTAATTTTCTCTACCCTAACTCTATACAAGGTTGGTCAATTTGACCGACCTCGTAACCACCAAAAAATCTAAATAACTCTAAATTGCTCTTTTTTTTCATCTATCCTAAGTAGCTTTAAGCTCGTAACAGTATACGTCTATTTATAATTAAATTTATTGTTTTATTACTCTTTGAACTATGTGTAACTACTATCTGCACCATTATAAGTTGTAAATCACTCTTGTAAGTTGTAAATTACCAGTAAGCTGCTCGTGTACATGCCTCGTGAAACATTTTTATTATCATTTATTTTACCCAATCTAATCTTAACTAACCTAAAGAGATCCTATTTTTACATTTTAGTTACTTTGATAATAATAAATAAAGGATAAACATGAAAAACAAGAAATAAAGTACTTACCCAATCTTTTTTTTTTTTGCTGTTGATTGTCGATGTCACATAACTCTACTTTTTTATACTAATGGTAGTAATGCACTTAATAATTTTAATTTAATTAAATAGTGCACCAAAGAACATAGACTAACAACATGCAAAAAGTAGACAATTTTCCCTAACTCCCAAAAAAATTTACTAGCTTTCTAATTATGTGACAAGAGTCGTTACAAATTCATCCAAGCTAGTTGTTATCATTCCCGTGTAAACCAAACGTGTACTACAGGTGATATTAATTCTTATCTGTTCATAACACAATGTTTTACAATACGTCATTTGATAGATGAAAAGCTTGGCTTTCTTTTGGTTATAGGTAATATATAATTAAATGTAAGAGAAATCTGATTTTCTATTGATAGCTCTGTAACCAAACAAAATTGAAGGCTATGAAAATTATGATTTGTCTGAGCAATGATGATTTTATGGTGAGTAATTTACATTTAATTTCGTGGTTATTGGAGGGGTGATAGATAAAATAGAGAAGAGAACATACCTAGAGATAATGTGTTCCATGTGTCACACTAGGTAACATTCAGGATTTTTTAAAATATTGTCTTGTAGAATTAAGAACTTAAAACTTGTATACTATTAAAATATGAATTATTAACTAAGATTTTATGATATATTAATTCGTATAACATTATTAAAAAAATAGTTTAATAAAATTTTGATGTAAGACACTAAAACCTTGTGTCATGAGCAATAAAGGATACCCGTGGCGATAGGGTTAACAGATGTTTTAAACGTCTATTGTTTGGCACAGATAGCCACAGTGCAATGTGTCATTAAGGCAAAAACAATCAATCAAACAAATACTCTTCACTTTGAATGATTTTTTATTTAAAAACTTTGCTATAAGAATAAAATATTTCACATAAAAGATTATGATATTTGTTTGTAGGTTTATTTTTTGCAATCATTATATATATATATATATATGTATAGATATACACATACACATGTATATATGCAGTTTTAAGTCTGTTTGTAAATATCATCTATTCATAAGCACATCGTGCTTTTCCTTAATCCCTGTGTAGTTCAGTATGATTATGGAACCTCTGCTAAATTCTTACAGCAGCAGCCTATCCACTGCAAGTACAAATCTGGAAGAAATGTGTAAAACTGTGCTTGTTTGGCTGGAACACCATTGTACTCTCTCAGCTCTGAGGCCAGGTGAGGTTTAAGTTTTGATTTAACTTTTTTTTTCTGCTTGTTTGTAGAAAACATCAGTGCCACAGCATTAAAATCAGGTGACATTTAAGTTTTAAATAATACTGTTTTCTTGTTTGATTGAAATAACCTTTTGCTGTTACTCCATTGAAACTGGATTAAGTTTAGGTTTTGATTCCCTGTTTATATTAGGAAAAGAGGAGCGTGAGGTGAAAGATAAGAGTTGAAACCAGCAACTTTTCTGTTGTAATTTATATAATGGAAAGAAAATAACTAAATATGTATTAAGGATTGATAGGTTCTTGAAGATCCATGAATACAATGACAGACAAATAACAAAGATCTTGTTCAGTCAAGGTATTGATTAGTTTTTAGTGAGTTCTAGTATAAAAGTAGTTTTATTATGAATAGGATTATCCTCATTTTTTTAGAAGTGTTGAGATAGTGTTAACTTTTTTATGTTTTTTTTCTGTATTAGAAAGTTTATTAGATAATATTTAGAGATAAAGGTGTTTTATCTACCATATATTAATTACTAATTATTAACTGATAAATCAAGATAAGTGATTCATTTGCATTTGGTTTGATGCAACCAGATCCTTTTACTATTTATTCTATAGATATACTAGTGAACCTGTGGGCTTATGGCCCACATTTACAGGGCCACTATAATTTAATGCTTGAACTACTATTTTGCACTTTTTCAGTTTAATGATCATTGCATT